TGGGTCCACGTCTTTCCGTTGTTCCGTCTGGCTTTGGCTCGTCGCTTCCCCCGCCATTCACTTGACGCAAATTGAATAATCTCCACATATTTGTATAGAGCAAATGCAATATCTATCGTAGCTCTGATTCCACCTTTATCCATCGAAGCTCATTCTGCTCTACTCACTTAGTAAAAAAATTTGAGACAGACTTTTTTCCGTGATCGGTGCTAAGCCTAGAATTTCATGATGAACTATTTTTTCCTTTTTAAAACTTATTGCTATTTAAGATTCTAAAGATGAAATCTGATTCTAGAGTGTATATTATGGTGCCGATTTTCTACTAACCTGACGACTATCAGGGCTTTTTCTTCGTTTTAAACTTGCTGGTATTACTCCTCGAAAAAGCGACCTATTTAGAAGTTGCTCAAGAATATGTAGCGTTTCATATTTTCCCACTTCATTCTTCGTCTCAAAGATGAGGATCTTTTTTTACAAAAATGTACTGATAATTGTGCGCTCATCGAATCATCCTCATTCTAAAAAGCTGAACTGCTTATTGGTGGTGTTTGCGTTCGAGCTGTCACTGAAGAAGAGCAACTTCCATCCTCGGTGAACCCTTAATCGCAGACATGCATTGGATTCGACCACTTCCTAGTTCAAAACCCAACCAAGAAATGGGTTCGAAATTAATTTTTTCAGCCCTACAACGACTGCTACTCAAGGCATCATCATGTAACAGATGATGTCATTCGAATTTCCTTGTTTTGCTTTTTCCGTACCATTATAATAATTTGATATCCTTTCTGTTAACAGTACAAGGCAGATATGCTTTTGAGCTGCTGGAGTTTAGATTTGATTGATGTCAAAGTATCTCATTTGCTCAACTCATCAACACCGTTTGCTTCGACATCCCAAAATGATCGTCAGTTCTCAAGGATCACCGCGCGGTTTATACAATATGTATCAGTCTTCATCCATTATCAATTCTTGCTTTATTTAATTGCTAAATTCTTTAGGCATTTCACTTACATGTTATGCTCCTAGAGGCACAGTTCACGATAATTCCGAAGTACCCTCTTTAGGTAGAAAAGTGGAAGTGTTGATGTAGAGGAGTACATCGGCGGCGAAAAAAGCGAGAAAATTCGCTCATTTCAAGGCTTTTTAAAAGTAGGTGGAAGTGCAGGTTGTGCGAGATCACCGTGACGGTAATGGCATGTAAGGGGTATTTGGGCGAGATTTAACTTGCTCCCATGGTTCAACGAGATGTCTATATCAATCCAAAATTCTCCGAAGCTGCCTTTCACTGTCGCCATGGGTTATAACAAGTTGTTTGAATTTCCTACATGGGAGTCTTTCGAGTTAGTGAAGCCTTTACGGAGCCCTTGAAATTCGTCCGCTATGAGTGTGGCATTTACATGATACAATCTCAGGCCCCTCACTGTGCTTCATCCAGGAAGATTTCAAGCTTATAACGACTGGTATGGTATGAGGGGGAGCCTCGAAATCATGCGAGAGGGAAATTTCAGAAACCATTTTCATCGTGAATTGTGCTTTTAGGGAAAGACAAAGAAATACATTTCACTGGAGTAATTCACGAAACACAGTTACTGAAGTGATTCAAGCCAACTGTGCATGGTGGTTCAGCGATTTCAGTAATTGTAGCAACGATGTAATGAAATAATGGACTAAACAATATAATTTGGTTCCATCTCTTGAGCCCACGCACCCAGCCATCCTTCATTTCATAACCTAGATGTATATTATAAGAATAGCATCTGACTCAAAGTGCATATTCTATTCTTTCAAAAGTTCATTAAGATCCGCTTAAATGTATTCTCGCTAACGCTGAGATGGACTCAAAATCAAACATTCGGTAACTGTTCTCGCTTCTATTCACTCAAGAAATCGCAGCTCTGCTCATTGTCGTTTCTCATCGAACACAGTTTCACGGTTTATGTGGAATATGACTGCTTGAAGAAGGAAAGCAGAAAAAGCTTAACTTTCGTGACGTTTTCGGTCCTTTGGTATGCTAGCCAATGTGTTAAGAAGACAGTGCTCTCATCTGCACACACAAGCCTGGTAGAATGTAGGTATGGGGGCTTCTCTCCGCCCAAGCATACGTCGATACGTGTCGAACCGCTGCGACATGGGACTATCCCATTTACCAACAAACTGTTATTGGACTTATGTAAAGGGGACACCTACTTAGACAGGTGTTAAGTGATCAAAAGAAAAACTAACTCATAAAATGTGACTGCGCATCTTGAAAGGAAGCGTTACTGATCTTGTTACGCCATCCCTCTGAACAGGGTCCATAATGAAACTGAAACTTGCCAATGTCCAGATAATCACATGGGACGTTGCGACGGATGTCATCTAATGGTGGTATAGAATGATAAGAGCCAATGACAGCGAAATCTTTTCGATGACTATCATTATTGAATTATCTTTGAAAAAGAGAAGAAGGGCAGTAGGGAACATCTGCTTTTTCTACTAGTATTGTATTAGTCATTATTTGCTAACATTATGCGTAAATGCCCTTTTGGAGGATAAGAGGTGTTCAACTGCTTCGGCTCAAAAAAACCACCTTTGGTGGGTTTTTTTTNTTTTTTTTCTGCCTTTTTTCACATTTCTTTAAACTTTCACAAATGGTGGTTGAGAAATAGGAGAGGTCTCTTACCGAAAGAGTTGACCTTGACCTACACGACAACGACTTTTAGTGCTGGAAAGAATATTAAAAAAGTAAAATCGTTTTTTTACTATTAGCTGACCAGATCGGCAGTGACTAACTGACGCGAAGGGGTATCTGAGACTATGATTGCTATGGACTATGGTTTTGATCGACCACAGATATCCGTTCCCCTTTTGGGGCAGTCGAGTCCTCAGGTGCTCCGTAAGTAGCCGGGAATAATTCGATCCACCTCGCAATCGTTGCTGCCAAAATGAAAATTGCAATTGAAGATAGAGCTGTCCATCATCGAGGGAACTGGCATGGACACAACTGACGATTGCTTCCTTTCGTGGAAAAACATTTCATTTATGATTGTCGACCTCATCAATATAGTTTTGTCTTAAAAACGTTTATCGAAATGGGCCACCAATGCTGTGTTTGTGTGGAATTAGCCAATTTTTTGGGTCCGAGTCTGTCGCAATGGTGCTACAAAAACAAAGCTTTCTGCAGCCCAGTTGTACTTCGAATGCGCGTCATCACTTACGAACATCCTCTTTCGGTTCGGCAAATTTGTGCGGATAACATCTTCTTCCCCAGGAGAACAAAAGGATTTGGGTGTCAAAGATATCGGTCACTCAAACCGCTGGAGTTCGCAAGGCCCCCCCCCCCCCCCCCTCCACCCCTATTAGCTCCCTTCCCCTTCCCTTTCGAGTTCCATCTTATTTCGGGGGAGAGCATCTCAATTGATATGGGTGCATCCTTTGCGAAAAGGCAATTAGTTTCCAGTTGTGAGCGGATTGCTTCTCAGATACAATCATGCTTCAATCCTTGCATCCAATCGGTCCCAATCTTCAACACCATTTCACTGCCAGCCTCATCGTTTCACTCTGATTAAGTGGTTGTTGAACTAACTTAACATTGTGCTCCATACTCGATCAATGATCTCAAGGAAAAGATCCTTGAAAGCCAGTGCTTGTCCAGAGTCTTTCCTAGCATCAAGCCTTCCATCACTACAAAAACCTCTATGATCACCCCGTTGCAGATGACTAATTCCGATGGATTCGCAGAACGTTCACTGGCTTAATCTTCCACAGCAGAATTAGCAGCTCTAGCTCGCTGAATATCATTTCAAAAACTGAGCTCGCGAGTAGAGTGAATGATAGAAAGAGTTCCAGATTATCAGGTTTTAGTGGTCTCATTTATTCTCTTCGCTTCTAGCTCTCGACTTAGCAAGCTTTTTTCTGATGTTGAGGAGGTGGCGACAGCATCTGGCATCAGGCCTGTTGGGTGTAGCGCATTAGGATCGAAATTGTCGCGTCGCGGCGCGAGAGACGACGCGCGCGAAAGAATTTAGCAGAGTGCGGCAGCAATTAAAAAATACAGGAACAAAAGAACTAGCAGTAGAATCATGCCAAAAGTAATAACGGCATAGCGATTGAGCTGTATGAAGAACGCTGGAACTGTTATAACGGGGCAAATGGTCCGCGACAGCCGCGTGCGGTGAATCGATTACCCAAAATCGTGTGATGGGAGTTAAAACACTCAGATCTGGAGTAATTTTAATCCTGTTCCCACCCATTTTATACTTCTTCTTTACTCCAAATCAATCATGCTTCCAATCAACTAGGTACACATTAGTCTTTGATGATGAGTCCTGGCCCAATCTTCACAAGTGATACTTTCTATGCCCACCGTCATGTGTATGCTTGGATTTGTATTATGCGCACTAACACAATGACGCGATGTAAACAGAGAACTTCTCTCTTTCCACTTCAGAAGCACATCCACGTGAAAAGCTTTTTTAGTTATGCAGACGTGAAAAGCTCTTCCAGTACATTTAGTTTTGTAGTAGAACTTGCAAATGAATATGGGAGTGAGGTCACAAGTTAATGAGTTGGCACTTTTCAAGTTAATAGAGAATATGCCTAAATTACCGACAGTTGTAATAAAAGATGAGGGCGGAGGTGGTGAAGTGGCAAGTGGCGCACTATCTCACACGCACGGCCAGGGGCTCAAATCCCGGATCGATGCCCGCCTAGGCCAACCAAGCCTTCCATCTCCCCAGGGTCGGTTAATTGGTACCAGACTTGTCTGGGAGGATAAAAGCACTGACTTGTACATCGGCTGGCCACTGCGTATCTTTGTATGGGCCACATACGCACTCATTACGACACTTCGATGCTGAATGGAAGTCGAGTGGGGGAGCGTTTTTGGTGCTGATCAATCTCTTAAGACAGGATTGACTAACAGGTCGGTTTCTTCCACCTCTCCAGCCACCCTCCTACCCGCAGCCCAGTATCGTCTGCCAGAAGTAATTGGGCCCCACGGCAGACTATCGCCCAACCTCATGGCCATCCCTATTGGACGTCTCTTCATTGGAATAATAAACAGCCTATCTATTCAAACAGCAGCACGCCAAGTCGAACTTGACAATGCCATGGACAAGATCAAATGCGATATACTCGGAGTAACAGAAGCCAGGATACCATACAGCGGAAGCTATGAATTACCGTCAGGTACGATTCTATTCCACTCTGGTGCCGAAACTGCCCACCGTGGTGTAGCGTTCGTTGTAAGACAACCGCTGGCCCGTGAAGTGAGGTTTACGCCCATAAGTGACAGGCTGGGAACCCTTTATCATCCGCCGCTCAAAGTATTTGTAATTGTCTGCTATGCGCCGGCATCGTCCAAGGATAAAAACGATGAATATGAAACTTTTCTAGAGGAAGTAGAGCATACCTGTAGACGAATTCCAAAAGGATGTACTCCTATTCTTTTGGGAGACATGAATGCAAAAGTCGAAAGGGAAGTAGGAAACGAACAAATCATCGGCAAGTGCACTCCTGACGCACCGAATGATCGCGGACGCATACTCACAGAAATGTTAACCAAATTAGGATTACGTGCGTGGAACACGTTTTTTCGTAAAAGGAAAGGACGATTATGGACTTGGAGAGGTCCTAATGGATTGGTGCACAACCAGATTGACTTCATTTGCTCTCCTCCATCCACAACCATTCTCGACTGCGAAGTCATAAACAATTTTTTGTTCTTTTCTGATCATCGCCTGATTCGAACGCAAATGATTGTTCGCAACAATGTCGCTCGTACTTCAATTCGGCCATATCGTTCTCCCATAACCCGGCTTTATCTAGACCGTGAGTTGTACAAAGTTCGACTCAGTCTCCTTCCTGATCAGCCTTATCCTCAAAATGCACTGGAAGCCTACGAAAGTATTCGATCACTCGTAGAGAATGCCGCTGATGGATGCTGGTCCATTCAAACAGACCCTCCAAGAATCAGCTTCAGAACCCAAACTCTCCTCTCCGAGCGAATTACTCTCCGGAATAACTCATCTTCAGTTGGTCGTATGGCATACTCCATCATTTGCAAAGCAGCTAGGATAGCCCTATTAGAGGATATACGTCAGCGAAAAACATTAACTGTACAAAAAGCAATTGAAAGAGGCAGAAGTATGATTGAAGCGCAGAGAAAAGGGGTTCTTAGAAAAAGAAGATTGTTGATAAAGGACTCAACAACCGGAGAGTTCTCACAACGGGCAACAGGAACCGCAACGGCGTCATATTACAACGAACTTTATAAATCAACCATTAACTTTCCTCTGAGCATTCCCTCT